TTTTTTTTTTTTTTTTAAATAAAGCAAGACAGTGAACTGATAACTCATGCCAAGCTTGACATTTCAGCCATTTTGTTATGAAAAAAAAATCAGCTTAACAGATGAATGTTTAAAAAAGTTATGGCCGTGTGAAACAGAACCATGTTGAAATCTTCAACTCTAGCAGGCATTATCAAGCAACTACTATGATATAGGATGCTTCCTGAATGATTGATGCATGAGCAGAGATTCCCAAAGTGTTAGGTCATTACCATTTTGTTGTACCTCTGAACATTTTATGATATGCTTGAGAGATGTCTAGTTTTGCAGTTGGCAACTTAAATTGAGTATGCACATATCTGTTGCTCAAGAAAACCGTCTACTATTCAACTATGCCAACCTTTCAGAATTGGGAGGATATTGCTCAGCTATATAGAGATGATTGGATCTAATATGATGAAAAGTTATTCTGAATGATATCTTCAATTTTTTGTGAGCTGTGTAATATAAGAGAAAGCTAGACCAAAAACAAACAAAAAAGTGCTCCTCGTGTGGAGGACTAAAGGCAACAGAACAAAAATGTGTTTCCTTTTTCCTAAGGTGTTGCCCTGACCTCCCCTCTGCCTCAGGGTTGGAAGCTGTACTATTTTCACTAGGAATAGTTGCTACGTAGGATAAGCTTTTGCTGCTCCATAATGTGACCTAAGGCTTTGCCAAGCACTAAAAAACAAAACAAAACAAATTCTAACCTATTTTTCAACATCAGAAAAGCCTGGTGATCTCAGGACAGGTATTTTTGTCCAGTGTGTCATCCAAACATTGATGTGCTGTTACAGACATCACAACAAGGAGCATTCTTAAAAATGTTCTGCCTCAGTTGCAGCTGTGCCAACATTGAAACACTACACACAGATTTACCATGTATTGTCATGCTTCTGAGCCCCACCATTGTTGAAGGGGAGGGGAGGTCCCACGGTGAAGGTATGGGGGAAATCTTCAAGGTGGGGAACGTAGGAGATGGAAAGTCTATAACCAGCTGTGAAAAGTTTGGGAGACAACAGGTGATTTGCAGGAGAGTGCACATGTGTCCTTGTGCTCTGACAGTACGGTGAAAGGCATGGTTGAAGAACCTACATAGGAGAGACTGTAAGTAGACCTTGAGAGGAGGTAGTTGTCCTGTCAGCTGCAGAGCGGTGATTTATAGTCATACCCTTTCTCCCACTCCTGTTTTACAGTTGCATTTCCAAGTCATATTAAACACTAATTGAGGGGCTGCTAGGGCTTAACATTTCCATGATTCCCTCGGGGTGGAAAGAAGAGACAGGGTGACACTGGAGTAATGGTTTTGACAGAAGCATTGTTGGGTTGGGTGTCCCTCCTCCCTACCCTTTCCAAATGTCCTGTTTAATTATTAGCAGTTTTAGGTCACTCTGATAAACCCTTTCTGTTGATTTATTATTTCTGTCCTTTGACACTAATTATGATGCTGAGGTTTCTTTAAACTTGTCTTGTAAGTGGAAACTGTATTGTTAATTTAATAACCTGAATGCTAGAATACAGTAACTTTTGCCCAGTCCTCAGTTTTTCTTTCCTTGACTGTCTCTTCCCACAGTGTTAGGGGTATAATTGTACTGATGCTCTTACGACTGCTCAAACCAACTGTAGCAGGGCACTAAGGTGCCTGCTACTGACAACAGGAGTATGAGCTCAGCTGCCAGTCACCAGGGCAGCACAGGTGTGGGTTGCTGGGGCAACCAGTCTGGTCAGCTGACCGGAAGCGGGCAGGGCCTGGCCTTTATAAACAGCCAGGCTGAGGCTGGAAGGTCAGTTCCCCTCTGGTAGCCAGGCAAGGTGGAGCTCTGCTGGAGCAAGCGGGGCAGGCATAGCAAAGAAGCCTGATGGCCTGAGCAGCATCGGCACGAGGATACTGGGTGGAGGAAACCCTAGCAGGGATACATGTGAAGGGTAGCCAGGTGGCTTGGGATTTATGTTATAGCCCAGGGGCTTTGTGTTTTCTGTTTTGTTATTGTGTAACACCGGAGGACCGGGTGAGGCTGTAGGGGTTGGAGGAGGCCTCATGGGAGCTCCCCAGTAGAGTGGGGGTTCCTGGCGCTGGAGAGGGCGCTGCGTTTTTGGGGTGTCCCGACCCCGGCCCCAGTGTGGGCAGCATCGGGAGGAGCCCAGTGTGGGCACAGGCAAGAAGCCCCAGTGGGGCGTAGGACCCGGAAAGGGGGTCTGGGGGCCAGGTAAGGCCGAGGCCACCTGAGCCCCAGTTGTGGGAAGCCCCAGTGGGGCACAGGACCCAGAAAGGGGGTCTGAGGGCCAGGTAAGGCTGAGGCCGCCTGAGCCCTATTGAGCAAAGCCCCAGTGGGGCGTAGGATCTGGAAAGGGGTCCGGGGGGCCAGGCAAGACCAAGGCCGCCTGAGCCCTGATTGCGGGAATTGCAAGCGCGAGACAGGCCCCGGTGCGGGCTGTGGGAATTGCAAGCACGAGACAGGCCCCGGAGGTTAGGGTGCACTGTGTCACCGAAGGCAGGGCACGGACTGGGACATCTCTAGGCACCGTGCCAAGGAAGGCTAGAAAGCTTCATTATTACCATCAAAGACGTGCCCGGCGAGATAGCGAGGGTGCGTTAAACCTGATCTGGCACGGTAGGTAGGGGGCGCTAGGGGAGGTCACGGCACCCCTAGGTGGCATCCTGCCACACCAACATAGAAAGCAAATTGCAAACTATCTTTAGCTACGTGTCCCTCTTCCTCAGCCCGTTTATACTACATCGTTTACGTTACATTGGTTATACTGAGTTTGTTCAAATCAACAGAAACGTGTTTGTGATAATTATGGCCTCAGAAGATATAAATCTCAGTTCTCCTTAGCTTTTGTTTTGAGTTCTCCTTTTTGGTGGTGTTTACCATTTTTCCACTTCTAGCCATGTGAATGATAATACTTTGCTCTAAGATAATGCTTGACATGTTCAGTGTTGTACAGATGTCCAGGAATTCTCACTGTCCCTCTGTAAAAGGATATACATTAGTTACTTGCCCCTTTCTATTGCCAAAGCATGGCTGGAAATTTCATCTCTATGCCTATACATGTGGTCTGGGGCAGGGAGTGGGGTGTTTTAATTAGAGCGGCTCCTGGACAGCCACTATAACTAAAACGCCACAGCGTCATGTATATTCAGCATCCCACATTTCAACGTAGCTGCGGGGACACCTTAACTAAAGCTTGTTTGATGAGTTGTAAAGTGCCCCTGCTGCCATTTTGAAATACAGGATGGCAAATGCACATGACTGTGAGGCACGCTGGGATAGTCAAATTGGCATGTGTATAGGCACCCTAAGATGCTGTTTATTTTCTGGTTCCAACCAGTGTGGAATGGGCACGGAGCAGGCCTGGCTGAATGCTGAGGCTTTACATGGTTATCTGGTGGGCCCCTTCCATTTCTTTTAAATGTAATTGTTTTGGAAAAGATGGTAGCAAAGGGCTTCTGAAACTAAGGACAAAAAGAGCATGAGAACTAAAGAACCTGCCTTGCTCTGACAAGAGACAGATGGCAGCTTAACTCAAAATGGAGATGAAGCAGCAGCTAGAAGGAAGGGTAGTGTAAATACCAAACTGTGATCCAGTTATTCATTAGCAGCCAAGTGGTACCTACAGTTTTTTTTAAAAAGCCTGCTGTGTTAACTCAAGGAGCCATGTAAGGTTGGGCCTGGTCTATTCTGTTCTGATCTCTGGAGTCTTGGAGATATTGTGAAAAAGATCCAGCTGGATCTGGAGTGTCTGATATTGTCCTGGTAGGATAGAAATGGTGAAAGCAATGTGCCAGCAACTTTTCTAACTGTTTTCTGTGTTTTCCTTCCCCTTCCCCCACCTCCATCCCACATGCGTGGACTCCAGGAGGCTGTGAGCTAGATCTGGCCTGCTTTTTCCAGCTGATCAACGAAATGGGTGGCATGCAGCAAGTGACTGACCTCAAGAAATGGAACAAACTGGCAGATATGTTGCGTATCCCCAAAACTGCACAGGACAGGCTAGCAAAACTGCAGGAAGCCTACTGCCAGTACTTGCTCTCCTATGATTCCCTCTCCCAAGAGGAGCACAAGAAACTGGAGAAGGAGGTCCTGCTGGAAAAGGAGATCCTGGAGAAGAGGAAAGGTCCTTTGGAAGGACACTTGGAGAACACCTACAAGTTCCATTCCTTGCCCCGGTTTGAGCCCAAAAATGGACTCATTAATGGTGTGGTTCACAAAAATGGCTTCCGAAACAAGTTGAAAGAAGTCGATGTCCCATTAAAGACGGGCAGGCGGCGACTCTTCACTCAGGAAAAGGAGACCATGAAGGAGGAGGAGGAAGAGGAGGAGGAGGATGAGGAGAAGGGAGTTCTTAGCGACTTACACAAGTGTGTATACAAGGTAGTAAAGCCCATTTCTGATGCTCTTCTTCCGTGAAAGCGTTGCAGCGCGTGTTCTCTGTGTGGCGCGTGGGTATGAACCAGTGGGAGCTAACCAATGAGTTCCAGCTCTTGTTCCAGGGTCAGTGGCTGGCCCGGTAATTATTAGAAGTAGGCAGTCTGATAACAGGGGTATTCACTTCATTCCCGTGCTGTTTGGACTCTTGCCAAACCAGAAAACATTTTTTTTTTCCTCCCACCCTTCCCCCACTTTCATTTGTGGAGCTGGCTTTTTATAAAAAATGTGGTAAGCTGCTCCATCCACTTACTTACCCTCTGACACAACTTTATTTTCAATTTTTTAGTGATATTTTAAAGCAGTATTGTATCTTCTCCTTACTGTTTCTTGCCAATCTCTTAATGAGCAGAGTAATTCTCCCTGATAGAGCCATCAAAACTAATGTCACTCTAAATACACAAGATTGAGAAAGTGCAAATTGAAATGCAAACACTATTTTCATCCACAATGCCAAATTTAGCTAAGCACAAATGGTCACACAAACACTTATTCCTCCCCATGTGAAGCACATCCATTTGCAAAGAATGTTGACTCTTGTCTTGCCGTATTTTACTTGGCAGCTTCCCACTATTGAACAGGCATTGACACCACTACACGGAGAGTAGTTTTTAGATTGAATTGTTTTGCGGTGCTGAGAGAAACACAGTACTTGCTGTGTGTACGCAGTAAACTATTATGCCGTTGCTCCCTCCCCACGCCTGATCCCATCACCGCAGAGTGAAACCAGACAGCATTCTGAGTATTACAGTGTCCAAAGCAGTTTATTTGTTAAGCTGTTTAGAGGCTGACTAAGCTTATGGGTTGTTTTTTCAAAAATTGGTTCATATTTCTGTTGCAGCCCACTGGATTTGCTACCTATTCTGTGGTTTCCTCATCAATCCTGCCCTTTAGTAACAAATCTGTTAGCAGTGTTCCTAGCAGGTGCAAGGCTGATCTCCTGGCAGCTACATCTGTATGGCTCTCCCTGTGTATAACAAAAGGTTGAGGGGTTTTTTGTACGTAACGAATTGTGCTTTAAAATGCTAAGTGGGAAATGGACTTCACAGTTGTTGTAAAGCTCAGTCCTCCACAGATCTTTCCAAATTCAGGCTCATCACTAGCAAGCTTGGCCCTTGCGTTATTTAGGACAAGGGTAAGTGCTGAATGCTCTTAAAGTCTGATCACTGCGCTTCCAGCACCCTGCGGCAGGCTGTCAGTAAGTGGAAAATGTGCTCATGCTCCATGCATTTCAACTATTAGAAACAAACGCTGTTGAATCACAGAGCTTATCTGACTCATGCTACCATCCATCTACCAAAGGCAGCTGCGATACAGTGACCTGAGCAAGCCATGCAATTATATTATCTACACGGCTGCCTTATAATATTGTGAGAGATTTGTTTTATTTTAAGCCAAACTAACAATCCTGTGTAAAGAATGCAGAATAACCCTCACTGAAAATTGGGACGATAGGTGAGGGCCAGGGTGTAATGTATGGGGTGTGAATTTGAACTGCTTTGCTTAAATGGTACCTGAGATGCAGCTCCCCAAAATATGACCTGCTACTCAAATTACCGTGTTGTTTAAATATACAGTTTTTTTGCATGGAAGTAGGGACAGAACATGGAGGAGAATCCAGACAAGTTCTCTGCCTCTGCGGCCCCTACATCTGGTACCTAGAACAAGCTCCAATACTTTTAAAATAACATACTTCTAACATAAAATACTTTAACAACTTTATTATATTTATTTATTCATGTCCTTGGCTCTTTAGTGTGACACTCTGTATTGCTAGGAGTCGAGGCTGGCTCTCAGCTGCACTGAATGCATTTGTCAGCTGATCTCAGAGCTGTGCTATTTATGGATTTGGGTTAAGGCCACCTGATTGCATAATGTATCAAATATAGCTTGAATGCTGCATTCTCTAGTTTTTGTAAGTTGGCAGGGGAAGGATTCTCTTCAGACTAATGTTCCTTTGGGGATATTAGAGAAGGTGCTAGCAGGACCTCTCCTGACGTTATAGTCCTGAAATACCATGTTTGAAGAAGGTATAGATGCTTCTGTTATATGACAGGGCTCTGAATTTCACTTTAACAAAGCTAAAGAACTTCAAAATGGCGAGAAAGGAGGGACCGTGATAGCAATGTAGTCATTCAGCTTAATACCGACAAGAGCGGTTCTCACATCCAACATGTGGTTGTTCTGGGATACATGTTAAAGAGAGGTATCTAGTCTTCCACTAACAGTCACACCGGTAAGTACAATAATCTTAATGATCTATTGGCTTTCCCCATGATTCCTGTGGGATTTTCAGAATTGCTACTTTGCAAGTGCAGTCCTCCATGGCATAAGCAATACCGTATTCCTACATATATGATCTAGCACTTGGCTAATAAAAAGGCATTATTTGTAAATGCCAGCTGCATAGAACAAATGAACTGCCAGCAAAGAGCTGTGGGAGTAATTTTGTGTTGTGACTTCCCACAAGTAACAAAAGAGGAAACAGGCAGCACTAGCTACAGTGCTGACAGTTACCATAGATTTACCTGGGAGACTTGTTATAAAGAGGTACAGAAGAAAACCAATGAGAACTCAATAACGCAAAGGTTTAGCAAAATCAAAATAGTGTTTTCATAAGTCACGTGTTTGCATTATTCCATGTTGAGTTTGTAATAAACTCTATTGCCCTCTTGTCCAGGAGCAGTATTCCCTTCACAAAAGGACACCTATATGTGTATATCCATTAATGATTTTCAAATGAGCTAAAAATGGTTATCTTATATACCTAGATCGCTCTCATTTAAACATAACCTTTGCCTTTCCATGTTTCTCTTTCTCCCCTCTATTTAAACCACCAGCCAACTGTGATTTGTAGAAGCAAGATGCCTTCTCGCTCTTGAGCTGAGTCCATTTAAAGTTCTCAGTGCTATTAGCCTGCCATTAAAGAGGAGGAGGGAGAGGTATATAAAGAGAAGTAATCGCTATAGAATTTTTATGCTGGAAATGTTTCTATTAGAGAACGTTATTGCTGAACAGACTCAGCTTAGTGCTTTTAAAATCCCGTGGCCTCCCTTTATTGAACTGCTTCATTTTAGACTGTGAATTCTTAAAGCATTTGCTAATTAATTTCAGGAAAACCATGATAAAGCCATCAAGTCAAATGTTCTTCAGCTTCTATGTTTCCATTTGTTTTGCAACCTTCAGGCAGATGCTGAACAATGTCAGTCTTGATTTGAGAAAATATGGGCAAGCTTGGAAGAATTAAGAATTTCATTTGGTTGTGCCCTTCACTGTCTTACGCAGTTTCTGTCCTGTGCTATGCCCAGCTCAAAATCTGGAGGACATAGTTACAGATTTTCCTATGCGTCTAGGCTTTGCGGGTTGCCACATGGGCCTGGGAAGGATTTTTTTCCCCCTCCTGTTGCTATAGGTTTGAGGATTTTATTGTTTTCTTCAGAAGCATTGGGTGTTGGCTGCAGCTGAGGCTGAGGATTTTGACTGGGGTGTGCCAGTCCGCTTGCTGGTACTTAAACCCGGAGGTTCCTGGTTTAGAGGGTCCTGCTCCTGTGCACGCAGGGTCAGACTAGTTGTCAAATTTAGGATTAGAAAGGAGTTTTACCCATGGTCAGATTGGTATAGACTGTTGGGGGAGGAGGGGGCAGAGGGAGAAGTTGTTGCCTTCTGTAAAAGGAGGGGGGAGTGGGGGAAGGATTGTCCTCTTCCTTGCATCTCCCAAGTATATTTTAATGAACTATTTTCTGTCTGTGCAGTGGCAGGACACTTATAGTGAGTGCCCTCATTCCCCTGCTTTACCTGGAGCAATTTAGTGGTTTTGCATGTTCTGCAAGCATCAGTCCTGGTAGTCGTGCAAGAGGATTCATGCAGTTTTAAGGCAAATACTTACCTAGGAAGGTTTAGATGAGGATGACCCTGCCTTGAGCAGGGGGTTGGACTAGATGACCTCCTGAAGTTCTTTTAAACTCTACTTTCGCATGCTTCTATGCTTCATTTTAGAAGATTTGCCTGCAATCCTCGGGATTTTTTTTTTTTTTTTGGTACGACAGAAACAGGCAACCAATGTAAACCCCAGAAACTAATAAGGGGTATTTGTTAGCAACTTGCAATTAGTGAAGACTGTGTACAATCCTGTAGACTGTAAGTAGGGGGTCAAGAATTTTATGAGGGTTTTTTTTTCGTTTGTGTGTGTTTAAAAAATGCTGCCTCAATAAATGATTCACAAGGGCAGTAAAAGTTGAAGGATATTGCTCATTTTATCTCAGATCATTCAACTCTGAGCTTTATGGGAGAGTGATGCCTCTGGACATTTACAAACTTTTTGTAACAGCTAATTGCCCTGCATTCAACATAAAGAAAAAGTGACAATGTTTCAACCTTAGATTTTTGTAGTGACCTGATAGCTTTGGCTTCCATCTGGGAAAAACTGCTGTGTTTGTTGTTCATGGTTTGCTCTCAGAAGTAGGTCTTGCATAAAATTAAGCAGACATACAATATTAGAAACTACCTGTTAGATTGCATTTCACTATTCAAAAATGAAATAATGCACTTTAACTCCTGAAGTGCTGGAGTTTAAGATTTTTTTGTGGCAGGGGAAGGGTGGGGAAAGGTTGGAAAATTTAAAGAGCATAGTTTGTGTCAGAGGAAAGACGGGAAAGCTGTTATGATTTCTTGCTTATTGTAAAGCAGACATTGCTTTCCAGTTTTGTACTTGAACTTGTCTTTTGCAATCAGAATAATCAAGGCTTCACCAAGATACTGCATGGAGTGATGATGGCTCTCTAGTTGTCAGCCCTCCTGGTTCTGTCTACCTAACTTGTTGCCTTTGCCCAGAGCAGGGATTCTCAATCAAGGTGCTGTGGCATGCAGTATTAGCACTGCTAGGTGTGCAAATACCTGCACGTGATTCACACAAACCCAAAGATTTCAAATAGAAATCCAAAGTGTCAAAAACATTCTGATCTGTCCTGGTCTTTCTGAATTGTTTGCAATGGAAAAATTACCCTGTTATTTTCCTGTAGTCAAAAAAGGTGAAAGTTAAGAGCTGGCTTTTCTAAGGAGTAGCTTAAGTCTAAAAGGGTCGAAAGTTACTGGCCTAGAGTGAAGAAAGAATTTAAACAGCTCAGATATAAGTTCGTCATTTCACCAGACGGTGTAGGAAAGTTGGCAACCTCCAAGCCTTGTATTTGTATGGTGTTTTACTGATCCCATATGTTCTTCTTCCCTTCAACTCAACTTAAGATAAACCTCAAACAGAAAATAATTTAAGACTGATTATACACATTACCAGCATTCTAACTCTGACAGGAAGAAACTTCACCAATAACTTTTAGTAAAACTGTTGGTCACCTGAATGTAGGTAGAGGTAGAGTTTACAACATTTCTTCCTATGAATATGTACCAGTTACAAATGTATCATGTTTATTATATGCATATTTCTTCCTGGAGCTTCTGATATTATAAGTACTCGCAAGAGAAGGTATCTGAAAATTTTCATGGTTCTGTGCAAACAAAAGAAAAATAGTATTGGGTCTTTTCTTGATGTTGCTTACACTGTAAAGGCCATCCTATGGGCAAAGGAGTTGGGGAAGAAAGCAACTCATTTTACTGTTTCAGTTCATTTTATTTCAGTAAAATCTCCCATGCCAGCCCTGGCTCTTTGTCTTATAACTACCCTTATTTAATTCTGCTAAACTCCCTTTTCTGTTACATACACAGCTAGTGTAATCTTGTTCCTTTCTACTGAATATAAGGTGCCGTGTAGCTCTAATTTGTCTCTAATTGGAGTTATCCTGTGTCCCATGCAATGCGTGCTCAACCTGAAACAGCATCTGTATTGTTTCTTCAAATCTTTTAAAAAATCCTTCTCTGCATGGCAAAGTTTTTAACCAGTGGGACCTTTTAAAATGTAAGCACCCTTAGTATAAGTTTTAATATAGTGTCTGGACCCCCTCTGCTTGCCCAAGAGAGAGCTGGAATCCTCCATTGCTGTTAATGGAATTTCAGATTTATGCTCTAGGAAGAAATGTGTTAGGTCAAACAGACTATGATGTCCATTTTCTTTGGAAACATTTTATTTTCTCACCTTCTGCCATCTATGATTGGCAAAGGTTTGCATGGTAAATCACCAGCTGCATATATCTGTCACGTGCCTTTGTGTGCACTGCTGAGAGAGGTTATGGCGGGGAGAAGGGAGTATAGGGGTATCTTTCTTTTTACAGTTGTAATTGTGTTTTCTCGGTTCACAGGGTAGGTCTGTTTCTTTAACAACCTTCTACCGGACGGCAAGAAATATCATGAACATGTGCTTCACCAAGGAGCCTACAGTAGCTGAAGTAGAGGTGAGGCCAAGGAAACCTTTCTTCCTCTGGAGCAGATGGGTATGGCTCAATGGGGCATGAGGTGTCTGGTACAAGCTGAGAATGAAGAAACTAGTAGATGTGGTCTCTATTCTTTATTTCACCATTATTATAACTATAATAAAGGCACTGACAAACTAATGGCAGGAAGAAGGTTGGTTGATCTTGCAAGTAGGGGATCTAAACTCTGAGTATAGTTCTGCTAAAGTTTTCCTGTGCAAGTCTGCATCAATTGCTTCACCTCTGTTTGTCTCTGCCCAGCAGTGAAATGGGAAGAAAGAGTCTTCAAAGGGATGCTAAGTCATAATACATTTTTAAAATGCTGGGGGTTTTTTGCTAAGAAGTGGTATTTTTTTGAGATCTGAGTGCCAAAAGAACTGTAACATTTCATTTGTGAACTTTCGAAGGAATTTACTGTTTGTTTGTTCAGTGAACTAAACACGTATTACTACCTTCTTATTCCATAGCAAGAGTATTGGAGGATAGTGGAACAGAAGGACTGTCATGTAGCAGTTCATGGTGGCAAAGTGGATACCAACACACATGGGAGTGGCTTTCCTGTGGGAAAATCCGAACCATTTTCAAGGTACAGTTAGATAATTACCCTGGACTTTTCTTGCCACTTACTCTGTCTATAACTACTGTGTTTGCTGCAACTCCTGGGCTGCAGCCTGGTGCCGGGCCGTGAAGGGTCAGCTGCCGGACTGGAAGTAACCATGGACTGGCAAACCATGGACTGGAAATGACTGGCATACTGCGGGCCGGCAGCCAACCCTTTTCTATACTCAGTATAAAAAAGGGTTGACTGCCAGCCGGCAGTATGCCTGTCTTTCCAGTCTGCAGTTTGCTGGTGCCTTACCTAAAAAGGTTGGGAATCCCTATGCTACAGAGCCTATACAAAGGAGCACAGGTCAAAACAGTGACTAAAATAGTAAAACTAGTTGGCTTTTAATGGTGATGCTTATTCACATCTCTCTCCTCGTTAAACAGGCATGGGTGGAACCTTACAGTCCTTCCTAATAATACAGGATCCATCCTGCGACATCTTGGTGCTGTGCCTGGTAAGTGGATTTCTTTTCTCAGTGCTCCATAGTAGAAGCCCAAGAGTTCTGATCGTGTCTGGATTTTTCAAGAAGTCTCTTCCCCCCCCGTAACTTCCCCTTGTCCTTACTAGAGAGAGGTGTTTTGTGTCCACTGTTTAAAATTTGTTGCTTCTGGTATTATTTGTATACTTTCACAGTGCAGGTGTCAAACAAGCCTCAGCTCATAGCAGCATCTGTAGGCAAATGGGGTGAGGATACTATTTACAACTGCCCCTCAATTTCTTCTTTAGCAAAAGGCACTTTAAAAGAAAGAGCCAGAAAAAGCTAATTTGGATTCTGACCCAGATAGAGACCATCATAATATATTGTGTTTCAAGGCATGAAAATGGACTTGCAAGTCAAGAGTTAAAGAATAGTTGGGGCCGTGTACCTGGAGGCACTTTTTGGTCTTTGTAAATATCCATGATAGCTTTTAATTATACATCTGTGTTTAATATTTTGTGTCATGGTAGTGAATGATTCAGATGTACAACTTACTTTTTATATAAAGCTAGAATGCAGAGCTGAGTAAAAAATTGCATAAGATTTTCTGTAAATATTCATTTGGATTTTTAAATACGTTCTCTTTGGCCTCTTTTAATGTCCCTTGCAGTTAATTTTGTGTAGTACAAGTATTCACTGAAAGTGAATTTCAGAGTCCCATATAACAAATATGGGAGTTGTATCTCATTTTCCAGTGGCAGGGCGGCGGGGAGGGGAGAAGAGAATACCAGTGACTTAGCTGACCAGTGAGAACGGAGCTTGAAATTGGACCATTTATCATCAGTCCATTGAGTGAAACATTTTAAAGAGTTAGAAAAGGTGTTTGAACAACGAACATGTTCAAGGGAAAAGCAATCTTCTGGTAGATATTTTATGAGTGGAACGGGTCTGAATTTGTTGAATAAATTATTCTTTGTGAATTATTTACTCTGGTAGAAAGAAGCAAGTTTTCAGTGAAAATGTGCTTGAAAATTGTAATTTATTTATTTTTAATTAAAAAGTATGGGTCAGTGAACAGTTATTTTCAATTCTTTTGTTTCAGGAGTGACAATTCCTTGGCTAAATATTGGCATGGTCTTTTCTACCTCATGCTGGTCTCGAGACCAAAATCACCTTCCATACATTGACTACTTACACACTGGTGCTGATTGCGTTTGGTAAGTATCCTTGCATTTTACCCCGTTGTTATGCATTGTTGTTCCATGAGGTCTTTGGCCAAGGATCAACTGCAGGGCATTTTATACAGACAAAATACATAAGTCACAGTCAAAAAGAAATCTGTGCCAACCAATTCAGTTGGAAAGTCAACACAGTTTCATAACAAGGTGTAGTGTAAGCTAAATGAGGAGGACTCCTTTCTCTGGAGGAAAAGGTTCTGTACATTTTTTTTCATTCTCTGTAGTAAGATATGTCCCAATGAGCCACCTCTGTCTGATACAGACAAGAGTTCTTTTGATCATCCGCAATCAAAATGACAAGTAATCCAGGCAGCTTTCTGTAGACTGATGCGTAGACTTATTGAGGCCAGCTCTGTGTTCTGGTTTTTGAGGTGATAGATCTCATCCTTCCTCTCAACCCTTCCCATCTTTCTTGCGTTACAAAATATCTTGAGATTTTGTAGCTTCCAAGTGCCTCCTTCCTTTTGAATTCCTACCCAGTGATAGGTACATGTTCATTAATGTGCCCTAATTACTAGGCATTTAGTTTAGTACTTGCTTAAAGTACTAACTAAAAGCACAGTAACTAGAGCTACTGCACAGTAGCGTCAGCGCATGGTTATTTTGTGATGCTCACTGTGTGTTAACCTAACACTGCACAGTAGGCTATTAGCACAGCTTTTAACTGCCACGCTGCTGTGCAGTGTTATTAGGCTAATGCGCAGGACATGTCTCAGGTAGACCAGTGTCTATAATCCTCTTAGGCCACATCGTCCTAATGTCCTGATGCAGGTTTGTACGTGTTTACTTGGAGGTGTCTGCTTACTGTACTTGTTGCTAGTCTACTGCCATAGAGGATTGCAGTGGAAGTGCAATAGCTGATAGGAGAAGCAAAAAACAGGTGCTAACAGCATATAATATACCTTATGTTATTACCCTGAAAAGTGAAAGGATTGACTGCTATAATCAACAATCAGCCACACCAACAGTCTTTGGTTCAGTTCAGTTACTCTTTTATTATTAAAAATTATTTAAATTCCTTTTGGTATTAGTGATGCTAAAGCTGCATTGCAGTTGTGTGCAAAGCACTGAGCTGCCATTACAAATGATGTGATTTAATATAATTATTTATTTCTGCATGTTACAGTGGCATCTCAAGAGGCCACCCTGTTGGCCTAGCCCTTGTGCAAATTGAGAAAAAGAAACTCTCTTATTGGGTAATGAACAATTACTCCAGATATACCTTATTCACATGCTCTGATGTGATGTGGATGATTCCTGAATCATCCACTACTACTGCCACTGTCAGAAACAGGATGCTGGGCCCAGTTGGTCTGAGCCAGTATGGCACTTAGGTCCTTATGTCTCTGCCCTGAACAGTTTATAGGTTAAAAAGATCAAACAGACCTTGCTTTTTGATAGGAGAGAGATAGTTATACAAGTGGAATGCACTGAAATGCCCCCAGATGTCCTATTAGTTAGTGTCATGTCCACTCCATGATTATTCTTTTTTATTTTTTTAACCTTTGGGTATGTGGCTCTTTCATATTTGATTGTAGGCAGAACTTTGCTGCGCTTACAAGTAAGGTAGCTTTATTGCCCCATTTTTGCTTTTTTAAAGCTTTACCACAATTTAGTTGTATGGGCTGGTATTTTCTGTGCTAGGATCTACATCAGGCTGAATTTTTTTGGAGAGCTCCAGAATAATCAGTTGAGACCCTTTTGAGAACGAGATGAAGGGTAAAGTACATTGCTTAACTGGTGTTAAAATATTACAAATGTTTTGTAAACATTATTGCTCCAAAACATGGAGCAACAGACTTGAAATTCCGCTAGTGTCAGCAGTGGGCTCTCTTTGTTATACCTGTGAAAATCTGACTGAACTTGTCTGCCTCTGAAAGTCACCATTTTCAAATATTCAGGGCTTCTGTTAGAGACTGAGAGCTAAAGTTTTGCTCCAAGAAACATGCTTCAGCCTTGGACTGTCGGAAGACTTTTGCTGCAATTGCTGCACCCAGTTGTGGTGCCAGATGTGAAAACTAAGAGCAGGGAGCGTGTATCTGTCTTTCTTGACTTTCAGGAAAGCCACTGCTAGCAACCATGTGGCATTGAAGAAAAGGAAGAAGTACCTCCAACTCAAATGTTACAGAGTGAGGAAGGGTGGGGGGGGGGGGACAAGTCCCATGTGGGGATGAAGCGAAAGGTAGTGGGACAGAAATGTGAGAGAACATGGATAAAGTTTGTGTGTTGTCTCTGTCTAGTGCTGGTCTGCATAGAGGAGGAAAGCCTGGTGTTAACTCAAAGAGCCAAGGTCTGTGTTCAGGATCTAAAAGTTCTCATACTCTCATATTGCTGATGACTCAGGTGGGGTCACTCTTGTCCCATAGGATAGGGTTTCTGGACAAAACTACAGGCAAAACCCCTCTTTTTAAACTTCCAAGGGACAAACACAAGCACTCAAAAACTTAAGGCATAGCAAAGCACTCCAAGCATAAAGAGAAAAATCAATATATAACAGGAACACATTTGTTGCCTATCTTCTTGGATCCTAAAGCTAACTAAGGCCACCTTACTCTTGAAGGAGAGCCTCCAGCTGAAGGTTTCATATGGTTTAAATCATGTGTACAATGTTGCACTTTTGGTCTTAGCTGTCCTGAGTTTCCCCACGTAGGCACACTTTAAGATTTTAGTTCAGACTCAGCAAGCTGTCAGACTGACCCCTTCATAGGAAAGTCGCCCACCCTATTTATCCTAAAGTGAGAGCCAGGTCACCTACTAGTAAGAGGTCCAAGTCATGCTGAGTCGTACTCTAGGACTCCTCTGCTTGGCCTGGCTACTATAAGGCTCTGAAAAGACATGGTACTGGAGTGCTGGTACCACACCAGCATACTAGGTCAGGGCTGTCCAACGTCTAAGCAGCTGGAGTCTGCACACCAGGGGGCCACACCAGCCAAGGCCATAGATGCCCCCTGCTCCACTCCCCTAGCCACAGGATCCCCTGGTACCACGTGCTGTGCCACACCGCACCTCCCTGACTCCTGGGGTAGTGGCAGGAAGTAGAAGGCAGAGGAGAAAGGGGATCCCAGAGCCCCTGGCTGCTGCAGTGGGGGAGAGCAGCAGCTGGGTTGGGAGCCTGAGGGTCACATGTTAACCCCTTATGGGCTGCATGCACCCCATGGGCTGCCAGTTGGACAGCTCTGTGCTAGGTCAGTGACTGACTCGGCACCCTCCCTGTCAACCCTGGCAGTTGGGGGGGGGGGG